GCCAAAAAGCAAAGGATAGATCTTATATCAGAAGAAGTTATAAGTTTGTCGAAAAAACAATTAAATTTCTCATGTCTGACAGAGCAGTCAGTGAGGCGAAAGATTAATGATGTTATAGAAAAATATGAAAGTCTCAGAACAAAAGGGAATGCCGACCTTCTGCAAATAGAGATTTTTGATATAACAAATCAAAATGGCATTTGGTTATCATCTGAGATAAAAGATTTTATGAAATTCAGTTACAAAGCAAAGGAGAAATTGGATATGCTACTTCAAAGCTGGCAGGAAAGAAGACTATTCATCCATCAATTGTGCAAAAACTTTCCAGCCAACCTTCAGCATCTAAAAGTTTTTCTTCATTTACTGAAAGTAGTAAAATAGAAAAAGACAACTCTAGTTCCGAATTTAAAGAAACTAATAAACAATTTGAGATAGATAATGAAATTACAGATGAAGAATATAATAATTTGAAGAAAATACGTAAAAAATATAGTAGTTGTAAAATAGCAACAAAGTTAGTGGTTTGTGCTAAGGTATCAACTAAGAAGCTTCTAAAAGAGGTAAAATACTGTCCTCAGAAGGCATACATGTTCCAGCGCCATCACAGTCTGGAATATACAAGGCTCTTTTTAATGAAGCAAAACAATTTAAAGAAACTTTAATTCAAGATTTAAAGAATGAGAATTGGAGTCTACACTTCGATGGAAAGCATATAGACCAATGGGAGTATCAGGTTGTTGTTCTTAAAAATGAAAGAAGCGAAATAAAGTTGGGCGCACTGAAGTTATTAGATGGAAAATCTATCACTGTTATTAATGCCATAGCTGATATTATAGATGAATTTAAACTATGGAATTCAATTAAAATGATTGTGACAGATACTACAAATGTCAATACCGGAAAAAAAAATGGTGTTGTTGTAAAACTTCAGGACATTTTTCCAAAAAAAGGATTACAAAAACCTCAATTTGTACCATGTCAACATCATATCTTGGATAGAATACGTAGACTAGAAATGGAAGAAAAATTGCGAGAAAATCCGAACTCACCAAAAATTATTTACTTTTTTACTAACGAGTTGTTAGAACATTATGAAACACTCGAGATAAATTTTTATAATGGTACAGAAGAAATAAAAGATACAGGAGGATGGCGAGATGACATGAAGTTTCTGTTTCATCTGACGAGAACCTACCGATACTATGACCAAAATAAAATATTTCCTAATGTAAGATTTCAAAAAATCCCTAATATCAGTAATGCTCGGTGGAGTTCAAGAGCTATTTTAGTGTTGTTAGCCTACATTCTTATGCCAAAAACAAGAAACAAACTTGAATCTGTATGTACCTTTATTTCTTACAAGTGGGCAGACTTTTGGTTTGACGACCAAACCTATAAAGAAAACACTTATTCAGACCTTCATGAAGTTTTATTAAACAAAAAGAAACCTCTTGCTACATTTACAAGTCATTGGAATCCAGAACCATCAGCAATCAACATTCCCAGAAGTAATCAAAGAGCAATTAAAGTAATGGAGGAGCTTTATAGATTGTGCAGAAATAAAGACAATCTTCCACTTCGTTTCATTTTGTCTAATAAACAATAACTGTATGTATTTAAATTGTATAAAATGTTTTTTCCTGCATTGAATATAACACTATGCCATGTATTAATTGTTAGAATAAATTATGTTTTTTTATAGAATCATATGAATGAACATGTTTGCAAATAGAAATGATTTTGGTCATTAATTTTTTTAAAACCTTTTTAAATCTTAATGTGCTTTGGGGCGTGACATTTTTTTTGAACATCGTGAAAGTATTATTATTTTCGCATTTTATGCGTAAAAACTCATCCATTTTTGGGCCAGGGAAATTTTTTTTTAAAAAGTCATATCCCTAGTGTGTATATACGCATCTAAACATATAAACGAGAACATGCATGCATAGATGTATACATATATACATACATACATACATACATACATACATACATACATACATACATCAGTGGCGGATTTAGTATAGGGCGTGGGGGGGGGGGGGCAAGCTGCCCCCCACGCCTTCCTAGAACGGTCTAACGGCGCCCCCTAAAACAATCAAAAAATATATATATATATATAAGATCAAATTACTGAAGGCAACCCCGGTCGCCCCTATTTATTGACTTGGCCCCCCGCGACACTAAACCTCAATCCGCCACTGACATACATACATACATACATGCATACATACATACATACATACACACACATACATACTAGTGATGTAAATTTTCAAGTAAAATTTGATTCAAAATTTACCGGTAAATTTTAATTAGAGAACGGTAAATTTTCCTTTAAAAAATAAAAAAAAAAAAATTAGCGAAAAAAAATTTTAAATTTACCAGGCGGTAAATTTTCAAAATTTTCCGGTAAATTTTACCTTCGCAACACTAATACATACATACATACATACATACATAAATACATAAATACATACATACATACATACATACATAC